GTCATGATATGTATCGTATCGCCAAATTCTTGCCAATACACAGCCCTATTTGGTAGTAGCTGATAGTCATTCACAGTCCATTTTAAGTGAGCATCTCAAGTTATCTCATGAAATTGCACATTAAGTTTTTTTTCCAAGTCTGAAAAAATCCATTGAAATAGGGCTACAACTCCATCAGTCCTCAACATAAGATTTGTTAGTAACATTTATTTAACTGAGTGAAATCACATTTTTGCAAGGGAGGCCTGGGCCTGAAGGCAACCTAACATGCATGTTTTTATCTGTGGGAGGAAACCTGAGTGCCCGGAGAAAACACACATAGGCAAGAGGAGAACATGCTACCTCCACACAGAAAGAGGGATTGAACCTGGTAGGCATCATTGTCAACCACTGAGCTGCCTAAAATGATCTTAAGATGATTTTAGTTTAAATCTCAGGTAAGAAAGGTGGTGGGTATATGCATCCTAAACGTTAAGCTTTTAACTTTAAGAAATAAAATGATATCTTATTCACCCGACAGCTGCATCTAGGACGACTGTCACTGGAACATGAAGATTCTTCAGGGCTTCTGCCATCTGTCGCCTGAATCAAACAAACAAACTCAGTGAGTGTGTGTTCTTTAAGACAGACAGGATACACACTCTGTTCCACTCACCCAGCAGCATCTGGCTGGGACTCTGTAACAAACACAGAAAAGCGTTTCTTTTCAGCTGCAGCTTTCTCCAGCACTCTGAGGACAACTCTGGAGTACGAATGAGTCAGGATTTTCTGACAGGTGGAAAGGAAAGAAAGAAAAACATGTTTCTGAAACGAGATTTAAGGAGCAACACTTAAAATGTGGTTTGAAATATTGTGTGAAATGGGGAAAATGTTTGGTAAAGATTTGGAATTAGACCTAAGAATTTTGATCTCAGATCTCCCAGATGCATTGTATTGCTATTAGTAAATAGCAGGCAAACATTAAATAATATACAACACATCTACCTTTGCTGCCAGAGAAAGTCCTGCTACAATGAGTTGTTGAGTAAAGGGTATRAAATTGAAATTGTTTCACTAGTGCCTTTCAAAGGTTTTACATAATAAAGTGGAACATTTTTTACACTCTTGTAACCATAATGAGCTTTTCTTGAACATAAATCTTCCATCTTTGATTACAAGAACCCTTAAAATTTAGTTTAATCTGTAGTGAGCCTTCACTCTTATGAGGATTTACTTACACTTCTTGTAATGAAAGTTATAAGGAAATTCACGGGTTCTTCTGTTTAAGGAAAAAACAACCCCTCTGTAAATATGAGACCACACAATAAGTGAACATGAGACAGGAATTTAGTTGATCTAATATTAAACGAGATTGTTTATTTACAGAATCAAATAAATCACTAATGTACAACTTAGCGCTTTTGTTTCATGTTTTAACACTCACTGTACTGATATTTTGGACACTATAGCACAAGGTAAAACAGAGAACTGTCCAGTAAGAAAATCCTTAAAATGAGGAAGAGTTTGCCGTAAGGCTGAGCATCTGTGGAAAAGCACTAAGCTGGAGGTTCACAGGCTCTATCTCAAAGAACTGATCAGCTCCTTAAATGAAATGAGCTCAAGAATGCCAGGTCCATTTATTTCATTAAATTCAAAAGAAGAAATCAAAAAATCTTGTTTGACCCAATCAAGAACATTGTTTAATCAACTTTTTCTTCTGTAAGGGCTTTTACAAATGCAGATTGCAATCTGTTTTTAAATTATTTCACAGACAAAGTTACCGGCATCAGGATCTATATGGCTGTGTCCAAAACGACAGGCCGGGTCCTCCGGAGGACCCAGACCTCCCCGGTCGCGGCGGGCCGGGTCCTTGGCAGACCGGGAAGACCGGAAAAAAAGAAGCTGTGAATTTGGACGGTCTAGCCCCCCCTCCTTACCCCGGCGTACGTC